ATCTTTCGAATACTAATCATTTTACTCTCCTAAGCGCGAGTAGAATTTTTCTTGTCAAGCTATTAGATTCATTTATTCATAAGAATTTACAATCATCAATCACAGTTATCATAGTCCCAATCACGATCTTTAATATATATATATATACATTATATATTTCTATTAACTTGTTAAATGTCCCGTAAGATAAATGAACTTATTTTTCTTTTTGTTGTCGCATAGATCCAATATCTGTAACTACTTTATATATAATAAATAATATACATAAATAATTTATATATCGAACAAAAACCATATGAAAATAAAGTAAATATTTTCTAACATAAATGTCTTTGTTGGATATAAAATATATTATATTTCTCTTTGTGAACATCATTCTAATTACATTTGACTTGTTCATTATTCGCTTGATTAGAGAAATTTTGTTATTTTATGTCAAAATAGTTTTGTTTTCTTCCATTTCGATCGAATATATTCTCGTTAATTTTACTCATAGAATCATTCTATTAGACGTTCGTCAATAAAACATACAGTTCACTTAAAAAGGTTTTAATATATGATCGTAACTGTGATTCTGAAGAAAAAAACATGCTTACTTCGACTAATAATACGTAGATACGAGGGACATCTCTTATATAAACTGCAGAGAATAGTTTATCCGACTTAAACAAAAAAAAAATTCTCATTCTAATATTTGAGCCCCTTATTGAACTGATAATTAATTAATTTGTTGAAACATAAAAGTGATTGTCAAGTTGACTATAGAAGATAGATTTTCTTTTTTCTTTTTAAATAAACTTTTTTCTTATGAAAGTTAGGACAGATAGAGCAAAATCTAATCGTAGAATACAATATTTAAAAATTAATTTGATTTAATCAGAATATACTAAAAACAAACCAGGTGGTCCATATAAAAGTATTGTTTGATTACAATGAATAACAGTTCTATCAATATTAGCTTTATCAAATCTAATTACAGTAAAAACATATTGCATTAATTGAGATTTTAATGGTAAATCAAATTCAAGTGTTTCCCAAAGAGATTCAAATTGATAATGAGGTAATGACCAACGACAACCTAAATTTTGTTTTTCTCCTTCAATTGAAACTTCATGATTAAATGGATTATCATCTATTGTTTTATATAATATAATATGCATTGAATTTATTTCTTTTGTTTTTATTTTGTTTTCTTCGAAATCACCAACATAGATTTTATTAACATATTCATTAAGAAGACTTTCTTCGACATATGTATTTAATATTAATGAACGATTTAATTCACCTATTAAGAATTTTTTTAGAAAAAATTTTTTTTTCTTGTTTTTTTGTAAAAAAACATTTAAAACCTTGTTTTCGAACAAATTGATAAACTTGTTGTGCAAGTTGATCAAGTA